CTCATTTTTGATCTTGATCAGTGCATCAAGTACCATAGGCCCACACCTATAATGGAAACCAACCACTTGAATAAGCCTCCATTTTCTCCATAGCTCCACTATTTCATTTCCAATCTTCTCATGCATTTGTGAAATGTTCTTAGAATCTGGAAATCAAGTTACTGTCTGACCTTCTGGCTTATCACAACTCTGTCTTTGCTTCTACTGAAACGCTAAAGTTATTTCTTCATTTGAGGAGCAGTAGCTACATTCCTGCAGCTTATATGCCTACAAAAACTGGATTTGTGGTTTGCATTTCTATTAGGAAGTGTCTATCAAATACACTAAGGATAGAAATTCTAAATACAATAGCTTACCCATCTACAACCCCAAGAGACAAAATATATATCAATTAATAAAACAAAACTCTCAGCAGGGGGGGAATAAAAAGTCCCACGAAACCATGACCCAAAGATAAATAATTCTACCTGGGTTGGACATTGGGAAGACATCAGAACTGACTACCTCTCATTGTAAATACCTCAGCTTTAAATCAAGATCTTAGGAGTTTGAGTGTCCCCCTTGATTACAAATGAATGGAAAATGCAAAGGGAAAGGGGGTGGTCTCAAGTAGCCACGTTGCAAATCATGCATGATTTTATGTAACAGAGAAGAAACTAAACTCCACCCAGAAACTAAGTCAGGAGCCAATGTGTGTGTGTGTGTGTGTGTGTGTGTGTGTGTGTGTGTTTTATAAGCATGTGATCACATGCTGCATTAGTTAAAAATTTCAAAATAGATTTAAGGTGGAACCCAAGTAGGGAACAATAAATCCCAAGAAAGCAGAGGCACAAGTATTTGCACCAAGGTTCCTTCCTACATCCCAGAGAAAAGGTTGCACACTTCTTGCCAACTGCAGAGGGAAATAGGTGCTCTTGGTCATAGCTGAGTATCCTTAATTTCACCTCAAGCTGCACACTCAAGTGATAAATGGCAGGCACTCAGGCTTACTTTACGGGGAGCTGATGTAATCTTCTACTGGATCCTTTTCTTGATCTACCAGCATAATATGCGTTCCAGAGTAGAACCATGCTGCATGTGCAGCTCATGAAACATGCTAAAGCCAATGTGTTTCAGTTTCTAGTATGGCTTGCAGACATTTAGAGTCTCAAGTGCATTTTAAAACTGAACTATCCTTTTAATCAGGGTTACTCAACTTTGGAAGCCTCGGGGGCCACAATGAGACTCACAGCACATGCCGAGGGCCGCAGTGTAAATGAGGTTACATATACTTGCAAATATATATGCAAATATATGCAAACAGCTTCTTTCACAGGGATGGGCATGAGTACAAAACACTTCCCATAATGCCCTAGCACCTCCTCGCTAGGGCTAAAAACACTGACATCCTATACCCGTCTGTTCCAGCCAGCCCATCCACTTGTATCTTTCAATGCTCACCCTGCCTGGGAGATGCCTCGCCATTGTGGAACGTGTTCCCAGCAGAGGCCATGTTCAAAGGATCCTACCTGCGTGCTGAGCCCAGCATAAACACAAACTGCACCACGGGATGCAAACAAACGGGCCGCATGTGGCCCACGAGCCGCGTGTTGAGTAACCCTGCTTTTAATCATCATGAGAGACAGTGGTGTTGGACTCCCCTGGACTTAGTTCTACTTATCATGTTCTGATTCTATGTTACCATCAAGCTAAAGGAATGGTTGCAGCAGCCTGCCTTTATCTGGTGACAATATGATTTTGGTCCCATCTATACTGACAAAACCAAGCCATATTATAGCATGATTGAGACATGCCCATAACATATCTGGTCATCCTGACATTGCTGAATGATCACATAGCTTAATGATCATAGAATCATAGAGCTGGAAGAGACCTCAGGAGATCATAGAATCATAGGACTGGAAGGGACCTCAAGAGGTCATCGAGTCCAGCCCCCCGCCCTCAAGGCAGGACCAAGCTCCATCTACACCATCCCTGACAGATGTCTATCTAACCTGTTCTTAAATATCTCCAGAGAGGGAGATTCCACCACCTCCCTTAGCAATTTATTCCAATATTTGACCACCCTGACAGTTAGGAATTTTTTCCTAATGTCCAATCTAAACCGCCCTTGCTGCACTTTAAGCCCATTACTCCTTGTCCTGTCCTCAGAAACCAAGAGGAACAAATTTTCTCCTTCCTCCTTGTGACACCCTTTTAGATATTTGAAAACCGCTATCATGTCCCCCCTTAATCTTCTTTTTTCCAAACTAAACAAGCCCAGTTCATGAAGCCTGGCTTCATAGATCATGTTCTCTAAACCTTTAATCATTCTTGTCGCTCTTCTCTGTACCCTTTCCAATTTCTCCACATCTTTCTTGAAATGTGGCGCCCAGAACTGGACACAGTACTCCAGCTGAGGCCTAACTAGTGCAGAGTAGAGCGGCAGAATGACTTCATGAGTTTTGCTTACAACACACCTATTGATACAACCTAGAATCATATTTGCTTTTTTTGCAACAGCATCACACTGTTGACTCATATTCAACTTGTGATCCACTATGACCCCTAGATCCCTTTCCGCCATGCTCCTTCCTAGACAGTCGCTTCCCATCTTGTATGTATGGAACTGATTGTTCCTTCCTAAGTGGAGCACTTTGCATTTCTCTTTATTAAACTTCATCCTGTTTACCTCTGACCATTTCTCTAACTTGCTAAGGTCATTTTGAATTATGTCCCTATCCTCCAAAGAAGTTGTAACCCCACCCAGTTTGGTATCATCTGCAAACTTAATAAGCGTACTCTCTATCCCAATATCTACATCATTGATGAAGATATTGAACAGTACAGGTCCCAAAACAGACCCTTGCGGAACTCCACTTGTTATCCCTTTCCAGCAGGATTTAGCACCGTTAACAACAACTCTCTGACTACAGTTATCCAGCCAATTATGCACCCACCTTATCGTGGCCCTATCTAAGTTATATTTGCCTAGTTTATCAATAAGAATATCATGCGAGACCGTATCAAATGCCTTACTAAGGTCTAGGTATATGACATCCACTGCTTCTCCCAGTCCAGCCCTCTGCCCACAGCAGGACCAATCCTGTAAAGCTAATAGTCCTATTATGAACTTTAATCAACAGCTAGAGTGGCTAACTTAAACCAACATCCAGAGACTTAATTGCTGTCTATCAGTCCAAAGCTCACGGAGGCGCTCTGCGGAGCTTCACTCTGGGATCAGCATCCATATACAGGTATACTTACTTATTCAGGTCAAGTTCATAGGTCTGCATGTGTGGCTTATCCCCAGGCTTGTCTGGATCCCATCTGTAGATCGCAAACGTCTTGATCCGTGGTGCTACTGCTTGAGAAGCGGGTGCTGCTGCAGCTGCTGTCTGTGCTCCACGGCAGGCCTATTGTTCAAACAATGACAACACACAAACCTCCTTAGACTCTTCCATGTATTTTTTCTAGACAACACATGTTGTGCTGGGAAGAGATTTGCTTGGTTGCCTACTGATTAAAGCAAGAGATCTGTGGCGAGGACTCCGGATCTACCACTGATTGGCTGAGTTACCTACAACAAGTCTCAACCTCTGCATTTCCATTTTCTAATTAATTAAGGGGACTGGACTCCATGACCTCTCAAGATCCCTTCCAGTTCTAGGATTCTGTGATTCTATGGTTAAACAAACAGAAACGGTAACAACGGTTACGGATTCAAAATGTTGCTAGCATCCGTGGAGAACAGATCCAATTTTGGCCAGTGTAAACGTCAAGTATAAAACACTACCTACAGGGGGGAGCCTATTTGGATTTTCATTATTTGCTCCTCTTTTTGGTGGGGGCGAGAGGGGGAAGGTCGGTTTAAACGAGCGGCGAGAGCCTCCTCCCGTCCAGACGACGCT